TGTAACATTAGCTCTGTACTGTATATCTGTAACATTAGCTCTGTACTGTATATCTGTAACATTAGCTCTGTACTGTATATCTGTAACATTAGCTCTGTACTGTATATCTGTAACATTAGCTCTGTACTGTATATCTGTAACATTAGCTCTGTACTGTATATCTGTAACATTAGCTCTGTACTGTATATCTGTATATCTGTTAGCTCTGTACTGTATATCTGTAACATTAGCTCTGTACTGTATATCTGTAACATTAGCTCTGTACTGTATATCTGTAACATTAGCTCTGTACTGTATATCTGTAACATTAGCTCTGTACTGTATATCTGTAACATTAGCTCTGTACTGTATATCTGTAACATTAGCTCTGTACTGTATATCTGTAACATTAGCTCTGTACTGTATATCTGTAACATTAGCTCTGTACTGTATATCTGTAACATTAGCTCTGTACTGTATATCTGTAACATTAGCTCTGTACTGTATATCTGTAACATTAGCTCTGTACTGTATATCTGTAACATTAGCTCTGTACTGTATATCTGTAACATTAGCTCTGTACTGTATATCTGTAACATTAGCTCTGTACTGTATATCTGTAACATTAGCTCTGTACTGTATATCTGTAACATTAGCTCTGTACTGTATATCTGTAACATTAGCTCTGTACTGTATATCTGTAACATTAGCTCTGTACTGTATATCTGTAACATTAGCTCTGTACTGTATATCTGTAACATTAGCTCTGTACTGTATATCTGTAACATTAGCTCTGTACTGTATATCTGTAACATTAGCTCTGTACTGTATATCTGTAACATTAGCTGTACTGTACTGTATATCTGTAACATTAGCTCTGTACTGTATATCTGTAACATTAGCTCTGTACTGTATATCTGTAACATTAGCTCTGTACTGTATATCTGTAACATTAGCTCTGTACTGTATACTCTGTAACATTAGCTCTGTACTGTATATCTGTAACATTAGCTCTGTACTGTATATCTGTAACATTAGCTCTGTACTGTATATCTGTAACATTAGCTCTGTACTGTATATCTGTAACATTAGCTCTGTACTGTATATCTGTAACATTAGCTCTGTACTGTATATCTGTAACATTAGCTCTGTACTGTATATCTGTAACATTAGCTCTGTACTGTATATCTGTAACATTAGCTCTGTACTGTATATCTGTAACATTAGCTCTGTACTGTATATCTGTAACATTAGCTCTGTACTGTATATCTGTAACATTAGCTCTGTACTGTATATCTGTAACATTAGCTCTGTACTGTATATCTGTAACATTAGCTCTGTACTGTATATCTGTAACATTAGCTCTGTACTGTATATCTGTAACATTAGCTCTGTACTGTATATCTGTAACATTAGCTCTGTACTGTATATCTGTAACATTAGCTACTGTACTGTATATCTGTAACATTAGCTCTGTACTGTATATCTGTAACATTAGCTCTGTACTGTATATCTGTAACATTAGCTCTGTACTGTATATCTGTAACATTAGCTCTGTACTGTATATCTGTAACATTAGCTCTGTACTGTATATCTGTAACATTAGCTCTGTACTGTATATCTGTAACATTAGCTCTGTACTGTATATCTGTAACATTAGCTCTGTACTGTATATCTGTAACATTAGCTCTGTACTGTATATCTGTAACATTAGCTCTGTACTGTATATCTGTAACATTAGCTCTATTCTGTAACTTAGCTGTCTGTATATCTGTAACATTAGCTCTGTACTGTATATCTGTAACATTAGCTCTGTACTGTATATCTGTAACATTAGCTCTGTACTGTATATCTGTAACATTAGCTCTGTACTGTATATCTGTAACATTAGCTCTGTACTGTATATCTGTAACATTAGCTCTGTACTGTATATCTGTAACATTAGCTCTGTACTGTATATCTGTAACATTAGCTCTGTACTGTATATCTGTAACATTAGCTCTGTACTGTATATCTGTAACATTAGCTCTGTACTGTATATCTGTAACATTAGCTCTGTACTGTATATCTGTAACATTAGCTCTGTACTGTATATCTGTAACATTAGCTCTGTACTGTATATCTGTAACATTAGGCTCTGTACTGTATATCTGTAACATTAGCTGCTGACACAGATAGAAAATTTAACTTTCTTCTATACCATCAACCAAAACGTCAAACAACAACAACACAAGATCAATAAAACTATAGATGTAAATAAAATAAATGAAGCATAGTGAATTTGAGTTGTGTGTGTCTGTGAATGTCAGTGGCTGCGAGCGAGCTTGTCGGTGGCTTGTGTCTGTTGTGAGTGAGTGTCAGTGTGCGAGTGACGTGTCGTCTTGTCTGCGAGTGAGTGTCGGTGTTTGTGTGGAGTGTCAGTGTGCGAAGTGAGTGTCTGTGTGCCCGAGAGTGACGTGAGTGAGTGCGTGTGAGTGTTTGGTCGAGTGTGTCCGATAAATCATGATAGGTTTGCTGAACGAATGCCGACGGCGATCAGTAACAACCAGCAGGCCTGATACGCTCGCGAGCCGGCGGCAGGTGTGTCTCCTGCTCGGGGTTCTTGATGCGCGCAAATATGGCTGCAGATAACGGACCCTCCTCCACGGGGTCTCCCCTTCTCTCCCCTCGCGACCTCACTTCACTTGATCGCGTGTCAATCTCTGACAGCAGTGTATATGCTTATAACTATTCTTTTTTGCCATCACTCTTGCTATACTATCGATAAAACTAGATCTGATCGTCTCAATGCTACAGTACGCTATCATCGTCTCTGCTACAGCAGCACGCTCTCCATCACAAGACCCCACACTCCTCCTCCTTCTCTCCACTGACTTTGACCTCTCCTGTGGTGCAAGACTGCATCCTATGGTGGTGATTTATCATTACAGGTAATTTTGCACTATTATATCAGTGTTGTGCCGTCATTAACAAGGGTTCGATGCGCAGACTTACTGCAGCCTCCCGTGTAATAACACGGAAAAAGTCGTCTACGTCGTCTTGGGCAGTGAGCGTCACTATACAATTAGACCGACTTTTGTCGTTCATGGCAGTGAAAGAGTTAACACACATGGACCAATCTTACGTGGGGTGTTGGTGAGTGTGTTTGTGTGTGTGTTGTGGACCTGGGTGTGAACTGAGGAATGCTGAACGGAAATCATGGAATAACTAAAGTTTTCCTGTAATTTTTAATGTGATTCATGGATAATTATTTTTTGTCAACAGCATACCGCTCTTGTAAGTACTAGAAGATTCAAAGATGACAAGCTTTTATTGAACAGGTGTAAAAGTGGGTTGAGGAGGGAGGGACTCTGGGATGAGTACTCTGAAGAAAAGTACTCCTGCGAAAGTACTCTGAGATGAAATTACCTCCGCTGAATCGGTACTTGGAGCCCCTCCCTCTGCTGTTTGTCTCCCGCGACAGGCTTCGGTCCTAACCGCAGTGACGCGGTTAATTGGCGAGGAGGACAACCTTTGGTTTGTAACTCACATTTAGGGGAGAGTAAACATTAGAACATACTTATTGTTAAGTCTTGTATTTGGCTACAGCCTACCTCTGCCCTGATGTCACCCCCACCTGCTCACTGTCAATGCAGTTATGTTTTGCCCAATTGGATTGATTGCAGGACAGCACATGCGACCGAGAGGAAACGTCGGGCCGTTTCTTGTGTTCTAATGTTTGTTTTTCAGATGAAAGATAAACAGCACCTGATCAGGGATGACAGTAGTTGAATTAAGGAAATGAGGCCTCTACTTTGCACCAAAGCCCACAATATTGAATTCGAGGACGATCCGGGTGGAGCAACAGCCGAATTGGAACAGTATTCTACCACACACAATACAGATGCCTGTTTCTATACTTTGGACCACGGACCAAAAGAGGGCGAGATTGTCATTGTCATAGGTGGTCATGGTCTCTAACCCTTCTAAAATCATTAGAAAGAAGTGTTCAAAAACATATATTTACAAGAACAAACCTCAAAATAATAGGAAAGGGCAGCCTCTAAAAAAGCAAAAATGGGAAATTATAAAGTAATTTTCGGACGTTGCCAAAATGAAATAAAATTCTATATGCTTGTCCCATAGGGGGTCATTCTAAATTTAGTGTTGTGCAAATTCAAAAGGGGTGTGTGCAAATTCAAAAGGAGGAAATACTAGCGCTCCCGCTATAACATCAAACAGATCTACTCTTTAAGATATTACGTCTCATATAATAATAAGATAATATAGAATAGGAATGAAATGTACTCGAGCTCTTAATGTCATTGGATTCGAGGAGCTATAGGTTGAACGTGTCAGAATCAAACAATAGTATTCTAGTTTGACTAGTGAATAATCAAAATAGTCTCTATTGTGAAAAATAAGTATCAATAATGTCAAATTATTTCCTATTAAAATAAAGTTAAAAAGGAATCAAATAGAGTCAGATTTAATGCTTCTCTGTATTCCACATCTGTATGAACTAGTGCAGATGTGTTTTAGAGAGTCCAGTCTATTAAAATGCAGACATCTAGAACGACAGGCTTCTAACCAATTTTAAATATCCTATAAAATAGCTCAATATAACCATGCTTTTTCGACCAGCCCGGCCTCTGAGCTTGCTCCATTGGAGAACAGGGTCCAAAATGTTATTGTTATTACAAACAGCTGTTGTATTTACACATATTAAGTTTGGGACAACTTCTTTTTTTTAAACAGTTATAAGCAGAGAGGACCAGAAGCCATTGAATGTGCCATTTGGTTTATTAAATAATTAATTTCATTAGCCTTATAATCGTCTTAGAGAAAAACGTTTTTAAAAATTATTTAAAAATCCCTTTCAGTCAACTTGATTTAGATGTATGGTCTTTAATATTGTCCTCCCGACATATAATTAAATAATTCAAAATACTATCCAAACCCAACAATAGCCAAGAGCAAATCATACCCATCACCGTGCCACCTAACCACATCGTACAATATTCCATGCTATTATATTTACCCTACCTCCCACCCAGTTGGCCTCCCCCCCCCACACCCCCCCCCACCCCCCTCCACCACACCTGCCTTCTGGCAACACCTAAAAACCCAAGACCCCTTTTGGCCCCCCCCCCCACCCCCCCCCCCTCCCCCTCCCCCCCCACCCCCCCCAACCCCCTAGCCCCCCTACCCCCCCCCCCCCCCCCCCCCACCCCCCCCCCCCGCTCCCCGACCCTATACCCCACCCCTCCCACCGCCCCCCCCCCCCCCCAACCATCACCCGCCCCCCCCCCCCCCCCCCCCCCCCCCCACCCCCACCCCTGCCCCCCTCCCCCCCCCCCCCCCCCCCCCCCCACCCCCCCCCCCCCCCCCCCCACCCCCCCCCCCCCCCCCCCCCCCCCCCCCCCCCCCCACCCCCCCCCCCCCCCCCCCCCCCCCCCCCCCCCTTCCACAACCCCACACACTACTCCCCCCCCCACCCACGCACCGACCCCTCCCCCCCCTACCTCCTACCCCCATAGACAGGGCTAATATTCAAACGGTAAAATGGGACCATTTCCTTCCATTATTTATGTCCAAACGTATTTACTTCAAAGGTAGATAAAGGTCATTTACAGTTTATGCACAGTTTTATTAGTTTACTGTCAAAATTACTTGTTTTCAAACATAGTTGAATGTTGACAATGCAAAAAGCTATGAGATAGATAATTGAGATCGATTAGAAACCCAACCACAGATTCAACACACATTTTTGGAAAGCATTTTAATGATTTGGTCTACGCCTCAAAAGTAGATCTTTAGGTCAGTTTGGAGAAATTTTAAGAGGTCATAGCAACAGATATAGAGAATCAAAATACGTGTTGTATAGGGCCTAACCCCCAGAGAAACCCTGCTAAACATAGATTAGCTCCTGTACGGATAAAACCAATTTGATTAACGGATGTACATTTATCCCCCTACGGTTCTGAGAGAAGGAAGTGACAGCACTTTCTGGTTCAAACAAAAAGTGTTTGGAAAAATGAGCAAAGCCCACAAAAAGGGCACAGAGCACTGATAAATGACAGCAAACCACAGTATAGATGATTATTAGATTAAAAAAATTTGTTTAAGAATATGGCTCTCCATAAAAGCAAAGTTGCAAACATATGGGTAATTAGATTAGAAATAGTTCTAAACTATAGTTGAATCGTTTTCAGTGCATACATTACAGACGAGGTTGAAGAAGGAACAGAATGACTGCCAGTGGTCATCAAAGAGTTTAGTGAAGGAATGTTTCAATGTGGTTGTGTGTTGCCAGTCTTCCTGTATTAATCTCTTACAGATATCGAGCCAGAGAAACTAGGATGATGGATTCTCCCCAGTCCCGTTCACCCAGAGATTTGAAAGATTGTGACCTATTGGTTAATACTAGGTCAAAAGAGAGGACTGACGAATATTTCCAAAATTGCTGCAACATCAGACACAAGGAATATGCACTCAGGATCATAAGAGATCGACCGCTTACAAAACCAGACAAATATTGACTCCTAAGAAATAAACAAGATGCTCTCTCCCACTCTCGACGAGGGCAAAAGTCCAACACAATCAGCGCGCCCAGTGGTGGGGGCATTGTCTTGCTCAGGTGGAGATGGAAGACCGGGATCCAGACCAGGACCAAGGGGCCACAGACAAGTCCCAGATCTGTGACGTCATCGGACCTTTGATAGAAACTGCTGGGAGGAGATTGGTCAGTCAGTCAGCGAGGGCCAGGAGAGGGACATATTAGATTAGGGAGCAATTTTTTTGTTGGAATATTCTGTTTATTGATTGTAAAGATAATTAAATGCAAGATGTTAAAGTGAAGATCTCTTGTCTCGCTCTTGCAACGACTTTGGATACGTCAGTCAAAGGGAGGAATTTATTGAATTCAGTCGATGGTTAAGGGTTGAGGGTTATCAGGGTTAAGGTGGGTCTGAGTTAGATGGTTAAGGTTAGGGTAAAGGTCGGTTGACGTTACGATGGTTTAAGGTTAGGTTTAGGCGGTCCTGAGTTAGATGGTTAAGGTAAGGTTTAAGGTGTGTCTGAGGAAGATGGTTAAGGTTAGGGGTTAGGCTGCGTCTGAGTAAGATGGTTAGGGTTTCGGTTATGGTGGGGCTTGCTGAGGAAGATGGTTAAGGTTAGGGTAAAGGTCGGTCTGAGTAAGATGGTTAAGGTTAGGGCTTAAGGTTATAGGTTAAGGCGCGGGTCTGAGTAAGATGGTTAAGGTTAGGGAAAAGGCGGGTGGTAAGATGGTTATGTTTAGGTTTAATGGCGGTCTGAGTAAGATGGTTAGGGTAAAGGTTACGGCGGTTCTGGGTAAGAGGTTAAGGTTTGAGTTAAGGTTAAGGCGGAGTGGTCTGAGTAAGATGGTTGAGGTTAGGTTTAAGGGCGGTCTGAGTAAGATGGTTAGGTTTAGGGTCTAGGCGCGTCTGAGTAAGATGGTTAGGGTTAAGGTTAAGGCGGCTTCATGAGTAAGATGGTTAACGGTTTGAGTAAAGGTTAAGGCGGTTCTGAGTAAGAGGTTTGAGGTTAGAGGTTAAGGCCTCTGTCGGCCGGTAGGAAGTCAAGATGGTTATGGTAGGTTAAGGCGGTCTGAGTAAGATGGATAGGGTTAAAGTTAAGGGCGGTCCTGAGTAAGATGGTTAAGGTTTGAGGTAAGGTTAAGGTGGTCTGAGTAAGATGGTTAAGGTAGTTGGTAAGAAGGTTAGGGTTTCATGTGTTTTAGCTGGGATTGATTGACTGACTTGTGTTGGTGATTGCAATGGTTTTGTTAAGTCTCTGAGATGACTTCTGTTGTACTAGGGCTACTACAAGAATAAATTGGATTGTATTGTAAGTAAGATGGTTAAGGTTAGGTTTAAGGCGGGGGTTCTGAGTAAGATAGTTAGGGTTAGGTTTTAAGGAGGTTGAGTTAGTAGGTTAGGGTAGGAGGTTAGGGGGTGGGTCTGAGTAAGCATGGTTAAGGTTAGGGTTAAGGTGTTGAGTACGATGGTTAAGGATAGGGTTAGGTGGTCTGTAGTAAGATGGTTAAGGTGTAGGGTTAAGGTGGTCTGAGTGAGATGGTTAAGGTTAGGGTTAAAGCAGCACTACTGACGTTGGGATTTGAAAGCGCAGACTCGTCGGCCCTCTCTCTTTCTGCCTCCCTCCCCGCACCCACGAAGCTATCGCCACACAACACCACTGTTGGGCGGAGCTGCGTCTCCCAACATGGATAATATATAATAATGGACATGGACTTTGCCACGTGGATGGCGTGACCATAGAACGAATAGACTGGGAAGCGCGGAGGAACGGAGACTTACTTTGGGATGGCTGTCTCGCTTTTTGTGTAAGCAGTAACCTGGTGACGACGACGAGGAAGGCTTCAGGTTAGCTCCGACTTGTTGTGCTAACTCGCCTTCTGTGCTAACGGCCTGTTAGATATCTCACGAAAAAGTGGGGGCCAGTGGTCCCGCTGTGATTGGTCCACTCTGCGACCCGACACACATTCTCTTTCCTTGTTTCACAAAACTAGGTCTAAAAATAATGTCACGCCAGCCCAACTCTGCGCTACTTTTTCTTCACCAGGACGAATATCCCAATGCACTGCATGGCCATGGTAGCTATTCCGAATGAATACAAAAAATAAAGTCTGTTAGTGCAGCTTTATCCCTAACCTTAAACCATCCTCCCTCAACCACTTAACCCCTAAAACCTTAACCCTCTTACTCAGACCACCTTAACCTAACCTTAACCATCTTTACTCAGACCACCTTAAACCCTAACCTTAACCATTCTTACTTCAGACCCACCCTTACACCCTAACCCTAACATCTAACTCAGACCGCCTTACACCTAACCCTAACTATCTCTACTCCGACCGCCTTTAAACTAACCCTTAACCATTTACTTACAATAAAATACAATCTATTCTTGTATAGCTAGGTCCAACAGAAAGTCATCTCAGCGACTTAACAAAACCATTGAAATCACCAACACAGTCAGTCAATCAACAGCTAAAAACACAATGAACCCTAACCTTCTTACCTCAGACTCCTTAACCTCTTACTCAGACCACCATAACCATTAACTCAATCCTTAACCATCTTACTCAGACCGCCTTAACCTTAACCCTAAACGATCTTACTCAGACGCCTTAAACCTAACCATAACCATCTTACTCAGACCGCCCTTAACCCTAACCTCAACCATCTTACTAGACCGCCTTAACCTTACTCAAACCTTCAACATCTTCCTCAGACCGCCTTAACCTTAAACCCTAACATCTTACTCAGACGCCTTTAACCTAACCTTAACCATATACTCAGACCGACCTTAAACCTAACATCAACCATCTTACTCAGACGCGCTTAACTTAACTCAAACCTTAACCATTTCTCAGACGCCTTAACCCCTTGAACCCCTAACCATCTTACTCAGACCCGCCTTAAACCTAACCATCACCATCTTACTCAGACCGCTTAACCCTAACCGTTAACCATCTTTACTCAGACCGCCTTAAACCTTAAACCTTAACCCTAACCTTAACCATCTCTACTAAGACCACCTTTACCCTAACCTGAACCATCTTCCTCAGACCACCCTCAACCTAACCCTAAACCATCTTACTCGACCACCTTTACCCTAACCTTAACCATCTGCCTCAGACCCACCTTAAACCTAACCTTAACCATCTAACTCAGGACCGCCTTAAACCTAACCTTAAAACCATCGTATCAGACCCCCCTTAACCCTAACCTTAACCATCTAACTCAGACCACCTTAACCCTAACCTTACCATCGTACTGAAGTCAATAATTCCCTCTTGACTGACGTATCCTGAAAGTCGATGCAAGAGGCGAGGACAAGAGATCATCACGTTTGAACATCTGATTTAATATCTTTACAATCAGATACAGACTATTCAACAACAAAAAGTGCTCCTAAACTAAATGTCCCTCTCCTGGCCCTCGGCTGACTGACTGCCAATCTCCTCCCAGGCAGTTTCTATTCAAAGGGTCCGATGGCAACGTCACAGATCTGGGACTTGGTCTGGCCCTGGTCATTGTCTGGACCCGGTCTTCCATCTCCCTGAGCAAAACAATGCCCCCCACCACTGGGCGCCTGATTGTGTTGCGACTTTTGCCCTCGTCGCGAGTGGGAGAGAGCTTTGTTTATTCTTGGAGTCCAATAATTGTCTGGTTTTGTAAGTGGATCATCTTTATGATTCCTGAGTGCATATTCCTTTGTCTGATGTGCCAACATTTTGTGGAAAATCGTCAGTCCTCTTTTGGACCTTATTAACCAATAGGTCACAATTTTCAATCTTCTCTGCGGTGACGGGACTGGGGAGATTCCATCATCCTAGTTATGGCCTCGATATCTGTGAAGGTTAATACGGAAGACGAACCACACACACAACACATTGAAACATTCCTTCACTAAACTCTTTGATGGACCACTGCTGTCTTTATGATCCTTCTTCACTGTATGTAATGTATGCACTAAAACTATTCACTATA